CCCTGGTACCTGGCTATGGCGCTGCAAAGGGACGGCTGGGCCGGTAACTGGCGAGGCGCCCAGTGCTGCGCTAATCCGCTCTCCGCTGAACCTCACCCCTTCRCTGCTCCTCGGTGCTGCAGCGCTGCGCTAACCGAGCTAACGCTGCTGCTGCGCTAATCCTGAAGACTAACCTCCGTTCGTACTAACTTACCGGACTGAGGCTGGTACCCAGCCTTTTGTAGTGCTGGGCCGGGCTCTTGCCTACTGGTACCTTCCGGCCTGGACCGTTGATCTGAATCGACGGTCCAGATTCAAACTGGTTTGGCGCCCAAAATGTGGCAGCCTCTGAAACGCCGCCGGTTGGTCCTGGGCTGGACCGGTACCGGCCTCTGGCCGTTTGGGCCTAACGTACCCTACCTCAGGCCTATCTGGGCCTGGTCTGAACTGTCGTCCCCCTAGGCCTACTCTGCCTACTGGGAACTGGGCCCTAACTGGGGCCCGTGTGGCTCAGTATGCCACATACACACTCAGAAAAGAAATTGGTCACGATGATCTTTTATGGATGGGTTAGATGGCTGTTCTAATGAGGGACAGATATACGGGGCCCTCTCATTAGAACGTTTATCCAACCTTTGCTGTGTACCTCTGAAAAAAATATTTCCCACCTGGATTTGTTTCTCTATTGCACTTTGTCGCAACATTATTCGTGTATTTGCCCAATATAACTTTGGATTGGTTCCTGTGAGTACCAGCGAGCAGGGGTCAGTTTTCGGTCTCCCTTAAAGTATGGGCAGAACTAACTACTATTCGTTGGTTCCGGAAATGGATTAGAAATATAAGGGATTCAATCTAGTGGGATAGGATCTTGTTTCTGCAAATGATCTCATGGGGAGAAATACAGGTGATCGCCCCAATGGGAATTGAAAGATGGCCATGGTTAGGCTGCTACGCCATCCCATTAGAGCGATTATCCAGCCCTTGCCACAAATGCTCCTATCCGTTCATTCTGTCTCTTTGTGATTGAACACTATTTTCTTCTGGAAACATTTATCTCTGCCTCTCACACTTAACAACGGACAATCGTCAGTTCTCGCCCTTCATATTGGCACAAACTTTTTTTTTTTTTTTTTAATGGTTCCTTTTTTTTTTTTTTTTTTTTTTTCCCACCGGCAAGTCGAAATAGCATTACATCAAGAAAACTCACATACGCTTCCTTCCATCTGGCCGAAGGATCCCTGAACAGCATTGATTGTTCCACCGTGGTGGAGGATTGACTGTCAGCTTGCCCTATCCCACTCTTTCCTCTCAGACCTAGGGTCCAGGTCTGCCAGATAGCACCATTGTCCCTAGAAAGAGCTCATCCGATAAACTTGCCGGTCCGTATCTTCCCCACGCATCTCCCTACCCCTTTGGAAGATCTGTGATAAACCCTACACCCTAAACCCTTCGCCTTCGCCCGACCTCCAATAGTCGAAACCTTTCCCTTTTTTTTTTTTACAAGAGCACTCTGGTGCCCCTTGCACCGCTGCGATGCCCTCTTGCGGGCGCTTTTGTTCCCCCTGTTTTCAGCGGCGTGGCTGCCCTTCCTGTTTCCCCCTCCTCCCTGGTTCTTTCCACTTTGCCCCTCTCCCTCTCTTTTGCCCCTTTATCCTACCCTCCTCCCATGCCCAAATTTCCTCCTCCCTCTTCCCTCCATTTAAAGCACAGTTGTGTGCCCCTGATTTGTGCAACTGCCCCCTGTCCCAGTGTATTCTGCTTAAACTTTTTAATTATCTCCTCTTCTTGTCCCGGTTGCTGCCTTGCCTGCTGTTTCACCCTTTTCCACTGAGCATTGAGTTGAGTTTCCAATAATCTGAGGAACAACTCCTTAGCTTCCTGCCAATGCATTAGCGTTCTTTCTGTCTCTTTCTATCTTCTTTCTCTTTCTTTTTCTCGGCCTGCCGGCGTTCTACTTCAGCCTGTTCTGCAGCCGAGGGCCCTGGCTTCACATTGCCTGATCTCACCATCATACGGGAGGTACATATCTTCCCAAAGCCCAGGGGAAAGAAGATTCTGAAAAGGGGCCCCAGCAACACTGATAGCGCCAGCAACCCCTGCATGGGATAATCGTCCATGGTGGGTGTCAGCACAGGAATGACCTCCGCTGTCCCACCAAGTAGATACCCCAGATCCTAATCTGCCTTCTGTGTGGATGGGATCTGTAATTTATTTATTTTTTTTAAGTCTGGATGTTGCTGCTTCAGAATAACAAAATTTAATAATGCAAAAGATATATACTACTTTCCTAATCAATATGCGAAGTAGGAACTCTTTTTTTTTTTTTTTTCCTTCCTTCTTCCTTTGTTTGCTGTCTGTTTAGTTAATTAGCTGGTCTATGCCTTCAATGGTCTTGTCTGGTCTCTTTCGTTAGAGAAGGTAGCCAGGTGATACTCAAACTTACTTCAAAAACAAATTCAGTTTACCACGATTATCTCAGTTCCCTGACTCAACCTTTCTTCCCTACCTATCGACAGACCAGATGGACAACACGAAGACCAGATGTTGACTCTCTAATCCTTTCTGTCAGTTCAGACCAGGCCACGGGTTTCGTCCAGACAGCAGCAGCGACCACCAGAATGGAGGGGGAAGAGATACACGATGCACAGATTTGCAATCAATCGAGGTAAGTGGGGCAGGAGGTTCTTCTCTGCTTTGTAGCCGTTGATGAAGACTCCACATTCGCTCCAGTCGCTCCAGTCGCTCCAATCGCAGGTAAGTCTTCTCCTCCTTGGCCCCTTCTTCGTCGGCCAACTTCCCCCTCTATCCCAATCCAACACCTCTTCACCTCAACTCTCGCCAGCTGTACTCAAGCTATCTTATCCTCCTCGCCGGCCTTGATCATGCCAGCGCGTCCAGTGAGAGTAACAAGCTCTGATCCGATACCAAATTTGCAAGGAACCTGACTGTTCATCACTTGCTGGAGTGCATCAGATCACATGCATATACACTGATTTCACAGATTGCGAAGACTCACACAAAGCCCAATAGAAGATGAATGAGAACCAGGAAGCTCAACTCAATTATCAAACCCAGAATTAGAGAGAGATCATCGTGAGTTCAAAGTGTATAGCGCTGAACAGAGTTCAAGTCTTCTTAGTCATCATGAGTTCCAAGCCTGGCGCTCATCAGCGTCAGCTGCCAAATGTCAACAACAGCGCTCAGCAGGTAAGTGTTACCATAGCTCACACTTCCCCCAGTGTTACCATAGCTCACACTTCCCCCCCTCTCTCGTCTGCCTTCTTCTCTCTCTCTCCCTCTATGTCTATAGTCCTGGTCTACCTTCACTCATCATGCATGCACACTCCCTATCACACGAGGATCTACTCTGAATACTACTCACTGGTATCTCCTACTGACTAGCCCTACTAACATACTAACTAGCGCCGGCGCAGCTATGGCTGCCTTCTCCCTTGCCAGCACTCTCTTCCTTCCTTCATAGCGCTGCTCTTCAGCCTAGCGCAGCTCACACACATCTGGCGCACAGGTGCCACGACACTTCCACACTCTCATGCGAAGTGAGCATCTGCCAAATGGGAGGCTGGCCAGTCCTTTATAGTGCTGGACTGGTCTGGCGTGGCCTGCGTTCAGCCTCAAGTGTCCCTGGGACTCCTGCCCAGTACCCGTTGTTGCAAGTGTGTGTCCCAGTGTCTTTTCCCATGGTCTGCTGCTGCTTTGGGCCATCGGGCCTGTCTTTTGGACTCCTGGTCTGAATCAGGACTGACTCGTGGAATTATGACTGAACTGGGACTGTAGCCTTTGACTTATTGTCGAACAGACATGACTTTTTATCGAAGAGACATGACCCTAACTCAGTCTTGAAACTTGTGTCCGATACCTGTTCGTGCAGGACCTGTTTGTGGCTGTTCGAAACGACTTTTCATTTCATTATGGATGCGACATATGCCTCAGGGAACTTTGTCTTTTGAGTTGCTGCTCGTGAATTTAAATTCTGGCCGACAGAGCCCCTTGCTGTTGGGGTACTCATCTGGGGTTTAGTTCGTAAAGGCCCTTTTAATGATTGTTTGGATCGTTGGTATGTAAGACTTCCGCTGTGTTATCTTGTACTTTGTGAGAGAGGTCGGTTCTTGTTCTGGTCTGTACTGTCACGCTACTTGAGCAGCGCCAGTTTGCGAGAGCTGTGATAGAGCAGCATTAGAGGAGTAGAGGAGTAGGCTGGAGTGGAGAGATTGGCAGAGGCCACATCCACGAGGGAAGAGAGAGACTTACCTGGGCGCCATAGCTGGGACTTCATACCGGTCATGGACCGGCCTTCAGCAGCGACCTGCATCGCGAGTCATGACCTTCACTGGTCAGTATTCATGGCATCATCATCATCAGGAGCATGTGAGAGAGGAGAGTTCTTCATCTTCTTCTCCTTCTTCTCCTGATTGTTCTCCGCCCCTCCATAGCCACTTTTCTTCTTCTTTTCCAGAGAGAGAGAGAGATTTCAGGCAGTGACTATTTTGGGTCGTGGAGCCCAGGATCTGATTCAACATTTTTGAGGACAGACATTGGTTGGGCATTTGACGGGGAGACTATTTCTTGGAGGACTACCGAGTTCCACTCTTGTCCTATTTCCATCTCCATCTTCGTCTCTCCTCGCCCTTCATCATCCGTGGTTTCTCCCCATGTGTGTGCGCAAGGAGGGATCTTTCTTCTGTGTATGATTCAGTTGGCACCTTACAGGAGTTACCCCCCTCTTCGCTTCCTGTAAGTGAACTCTCTTAAGCCACCAATACCTCTCCTGAGAAAAAAATGTCTGTTATGCTTTCTCTTCCCCCGGCACCGCCTGCCCCCCCTGGCCCTTCATCCGAGCTGCCTCAATTTCTGATCCTCAATCTAGTGGCTCGCCTGGACTAAGGTGTGTCCACCTTCTCAGCCAGCACGTGGTGCAGGTACAGGTGCACCCTTGTTGTGGCTTTTGCTTCTGTTCTTTTAATTCTCTGGTCTTTTTGTACTGGGTCATGTTTCTGTGGCAGGTTCAGAGGGCGGTGGAGTTTGCCAAGGCTGCCCATGCAGGTCAAGTGAGAAAAACGGGGGATGCATACATAACGCACTGCATACACACTGGATGTATCTTGGCAGCGCTTGTGCCTACTGAAGGAGAAAGGGTAGGTTTGGCCTGATACTGCTGCACACTCCTCATTGGAGAAGAAAAGCAAGAGTGCATGGTGATGCTCAAGTTACCGGTGCTCGAAAATAGTTTTTCTTTTTTCTGTCTGTACTCGTCATGTAGGAAAACCCATGTCTCACATGATGGTGTCCTGTGAGACCCGGTTCCCAGCTGGGCCCAGGGCAGTTTGTTTGTTGGTTTTGGTGCAGGTTTGAGTCACAAGAGCACGTACTGCAATGAGCTCGCAGTTTCTCAGCGGGCTGTAACTGTAACAGTGTAATGACCTGCCAAACACGGACTGAGACACACAGCTGATCACTGAGTTTTGCTCATGGAATGTATGCCTTACTGAGTTTCCCACTTGTTGCTGAGTTTTCTAAGTCTGTGTGGGTGCGTGCTTGCTGGTCTGCATGCCTGTCTGAGTGCTTGTCGGCTTGACTGTGTGTGTGACCCGCAAGGGCACTTGGTTGTTCGAAGGCCCGAAGGGCCGGTACTTACCTGTGGCCGTGACATTGAGGGTTGCAGCAGGGAAAACACTCAAGTGACAGGGAAAGAGGCCCGCAACACTTACAGCAGCGGAAAACACTCAAGTAGCAGGTAGGCCGGTACCACACCAAGTAGAGGTAGACGTGCCAGGTACTCGAGGCCGAGCAGAAGAAGACAAAAGTTGGCATTTTTTTAAGAGGCCCAGTCGTTGTAGGCTAGGTCCAGGTGGGTACCAGTCCAACCAGTCCGAGTCTAGGGCCTGTACGGGCAATATCAGAGTCTGCAATGATGTTTCCCTCCAAAAGGGAGGAGGTACCGATTGCTTGGAGGCCGCACGGCCTAGGAAGTCACTTGCCAAGAGGCAAGCAGGCCGCTATATCTCCGGGAGGAGCAAGGTGCTCCTCCTCATTGTCGGTGTGCAAGTTCGGCGACGCACTGGTTGGAGCGCTGGCTGGAGCAGCGCTAACTTGGAGCAGCGCTGCTGGGGAAGGAGCAAGGATACGGGGAGAAGGAAGACAAGGACTGGGAAGGGAGGAGCGCCAGAGGTACTTACCTGGCTAGGGTGGTTGCCACCTTCATCACTTTGGTGGGCGCTGCAGCAAGAAGGCCCCAGTGGGGGTAGAGCTACACCAAGAAGCTTTGAGGCAGAGTCAGGCATGGCGGCCTGAGCTAGAGCAGCCATAGCTGCTTGAGTTGTCTTCTGCACATCAGGGCAAGGCCCAAGCAGTCCGCCATAGCCTAGGCCTTCGAGAAGAGGAAGGAGAAGGGTGCCGTGGCTATGGCGGACCTCATGTGATACCTGCAGTAGAAGAGGGATTCAGACATTGATTCTGGTTCAGCCATTCAACATTTGCAATTGGACGGCATTGTACTTTCTGATGAATGTGTACTTCGAAATTGGCCAGGATCATAACATTGGTATCAGAGGGGATTCTACTTGCTGGTGAGAGTTGACTTATCCACCCTAACCCTAACCTATGTGGTTAAGGGTGACCACTTAGGGTTAGGGCTGGTCCTGTGTGGGAAGTGGGGCAGCGTGGATTAGGGAAGCTGCCCCCACCTGGTTAGGTCGTTTTGGGTCGACACTGAACCTGACCTGTTTGATTGAGAGTGAGCTTGTGGTGGCGAGACACATCAAGAGGACTTCATGCGACAATTTGAGAGACGAGACAGTGAGAGGCACTCGCACCTGGAATCAGACCTAAGGGAGACACTTGGTGACTTGAGGGCCTCCCTCAAGTAGGCGATCTTGAGGGAGGTAGCCATTCTGCATCCATGGACTGCAAGTTGCTACTTTGTTCTTCAGCATCGGCGGGGGATCAGGCATTGCACTTTGGTGTTGGAGTCAGACCCTCCTACATGGTAGGACAGTAGTGTAGAGGTAGCGAACAGGGTTAGGAGGACCATATGTGGAAGGGGGGTTACTTCATCTGAGAGTCCGGGCCACTCACGTAAGTGCCGTGCACCTAAGGGTTGCCCATGTGTGCGTGCATGGTATTGTTTGTCCTGTTGGGGTACTTTTGGGTCTCTTTCCTACTCCTCTGAAGTCTTGGTTGTGTGCATTGGTGTGCAAACTGCTTACTGACCTGATGGATGGAGAGAAGAAGTATCTTGCTTTGAATGCCATATCTTTCTATAGTGCTTTGTCTTTTCATTCTGAATGGATGTAGTTTGTAGGTTCTCTCTTAAAGTTGAACTTCGTTTTTCAGTACGGTAGAGGCAGAAAGTAGGACCTTGTGGTACTCTTCTTGCTTGAGACTTGGTCGCGACCTACGTGAGACCCATTGGGACTCAGTGGGACCAGGCCCAAACAAGAAGGGCCTCTTGGACTCAAATCTGTTGACGCAGTGTCAGTCTCTTTTCTGTCTGGAATTCATTGTTTTTCTTTTTTATTAGAGCACCCGCTGCCGAGGGGATCTCGGCTGAGTTGTTTTGCGGACTGATGACGCACAATCCGATGCTTGACCTACACCTTATACAACATTCAATTCTCCATTGCTGTATGTTGTTACTTGTAGTCTGATTTGTTGTACTTTGACGGTGCAGATCCGATTAGGCTCGAGGGGACCTCGTACTTGGTCTGACCAAACTAAAACGCAGAGGCAGAGCTCTCGTATGAATTATCTTTATTATTATTTGTTTTTTGTTCTCTAGTCCAAATATGTTGCCGCTCTGGCTAGGAGTTCTACCTTCTCTTCTTGTGCTTTCAATTTGTTTCTTTTACTGAAGACCATTTTATACTCGTCACGACGCGCAGACAAGAGAGAAGAGAGAGAGAGGCCATGTCAACTGAAGGATCTAGTAATTCCAACATGGGACCAGCCAACCTTTCTGATATTCTAAAGGCTCAAGTGGATGTAGCGGATAATGAGGATAAACCGTTGTACCTGAGGAAGAGGCCCTCTATCAGAAGGAAATGGCCAAGGAGGAGGAGGAGGAGGAGGAAGAGGCTAAGCTGAAAGCATCCGCTGAAGGTCTTGAGACGATTTTCAAAACAGTCTCAACCATGCCTGATGCAAATGTTAAGAAAGATCTGGTCAAGTACGTACAAGCCCTCCTAGATTACCATTTGCTCAGCGAGCTTCTGAGTATAAAGTCCCAACTACTCGACGAAATGAGTCGGCTGCATACTCAGATGGCAGATATGGCCAAGGAGCATCGCGATCAGATACAACAGACGACAATCATGCATCATGCCTAAATCTGAAACTCTTTTCCCCTACCTCTTGTTGATAATCATTCTACCTTTGCACCTCTCCTTCCTTCTTCCTCTTCTTATTCTTCTTCGTTGAGTTCGGGGGTCCCTTCTTCGTTGAGTTCGGTGGCAAACCTTTCAGGACCTGTAACAGACATTGATCGGACATCGGCAAGGGACTATTTTTTGAATTTCGGTATTGCGATCTTGGTCTTCTCCCTCGCCTCCATCTTCGTCTCTGCTCTTCCCCCCATCTCTCATCTGTGGTACCTCCCCATGTGTGTGTAAAGGAGGGACCTTTCGTCTGTGTGTGTGGTCCCTCCTCCTCCCTCACATGTGCGATGAGTGATGGGGTGTCGCGTCAGTCCCGGTCAGGTCAGGACTTATCTCCAAGTCTTCCGCTGCGCTATTTTGTGCCATTTTGTATGTATCGGGGTGTACATTGCCTGTTGATGTTTCACTAGCATTGCATTGTCCTTTTCAGTCCTTTCATCACATTGCGGATCCTTGGCTGTACATACATTGGCCAGCTGGGCATGTATCAGGTACAGAGTGGAAGAAGAAGGAGGAGGAGGAGGAGGAGGAGGAGGAGAAGAAGAAGAAGAAGAAGAGGAGGAGGAGGAAGAAGAAGAAGCTACTGAGGGAGGCTCAGGTCGCTGATAGGATCATGCATAAAGAGGTCATTGCATTGTGACTGATAATCATCATCTATGGGCGTGCGTCACCATGTGGCTCCTCTGCAAGATGCTCTTCGCCTTGAGCATCACAGAAGCCTCCATTTTACAAGATCTTCCTCGAGTTCATGGAAAGATCCACATGCGGGTCACACCTCAACGGAGCTATAATCACCGAAAGTGTTATTGTTCCTCCGAGAGTCAGGAAATTTTTTGGAAGGAAGGTAACTGGCACAAGTGCAGAAGTAGCAGCTATGGAAGCTCTGATGGACAACATTTGGCTAACCTCCTTTGTCAGAAGCAGCATGCAGATTCGTCGCTCAATAATGGTGGCCGAGAGCTGCATTGCGCAGTTCCCTGGTACACAAACTTGAGTGAAGTGAGAGCACATACAAAAACTACCAAGTCCGTCGATTCAGGAGGCCGAATTGTATTTCATGCCATTAGGCGTATGACTGATGATGATAGTCACTCGTCCCACTCTGGGACTAGGGGTTGAGGTTTCTTACCAGGACCGAGCAGACTAGAATTGGACCATTCATTAGACGGTGATCGGGTAGAAGTCCCGCATCATAATCAGAAAGAATCAGAATTAATAAGAAATAATCACAAAAAATCGGAAATGGTTTGGAAACAGACAAACTCGAAAATATGGGAAAATATTGGGAAATTTTCATACTCGTATTTGGCTATTAGCAGATAGCGCCATCCTCCTTTCTTCTGGGGTCAGTATCGGACCTCTTTTGGGGTTTTAAATGGTCGGACTGTGGAGGGTTGGAGCCGACATGGCCAAGCTTGGTCGTTTTCACACGTCTTTTGGGCTATCCTAATAGCTCGTCATCTGCATGCTCCAACAGGTCAAGCTCCCATAGGAGTAGGCTTTCTTATAGGAAATGACCCATGACCATTATTAGCAAACAGCAAGACTAACCCAGTGTGTGTGACTGTCGGTGTGTGAGTCTATATGCATGTGGGTGTGGGTGGATGTGCTTAGACTGTCAACATAGCAACCCCTTTTGCACCCGGATGCGAAGATCCGAAAATGAAACATCCTTAGATTCCTTACCTTATAATCTTATATGTGATTTAAAAAATGAATGTAATGTTCGGATAAATGTCATGTTTTCATGCAACGACTGTTTTGTTGTTGTATTCTGAAAGCTGGTGCAAGGCCCAACATATGTGAACTTGAGCATGGGATGCGTCCACACCCATTTGCCTTTCAGCACACCTGCGCCTTATATTCTTCTTCTCTCAGTGATGCTCATTCAGATGGGTTTAGTACTTCTACACGGGGATGGAAGAAGGGGAGGGAGAAGGACAGAGGGGGTGTAGCATATCAGGAAGTGAAATGCACCGAGAGCCTAAGATCTAGCAATGATGAAAATGGCAACAACTGGCAGCATAGATGCAACATTCACAAGATGTCAATGTGCACAATGCAAAGAGTAAACCAACGAGAAATCAACAACAACACATTTGTATCATCATCATGGGCTGGGAAACAGCACAGCGGAAGTCTTAGTAACCAAAGGACACGAGGACAGACAACATGAAAGAGGGAAACTTCAGAAGGGCAGGACATCAGAAAGATTGCCCTTCCGCTCACACACATGGGGAGAGGTCCATAGACGTGCGGGAGAGAAAGGGGAGAGACATAGGAGATAACCAAGTCCAACCCAAGTCTGATCTCCGAATGTCGTACACCGTTCAATCCCAATGTAGAGTGTAAGTCCGATCTGAATGTCGCGTCCAATAAGGCAGAATGCCGTGTCCAAACAATATCTGCAGTTACCTCTATCTCTACTCTGAAGAAGAAGAAGAAGAAGAAGAAGAAGAAGAAGAAGAAGAAGAAGAACTTCGGAGGAGTAGGAGGAGAAGAGGAGGGAAGAAGAAGAAGAAGAAGAAGAAGAAGAAGAAGAAGAAGAAGAAGAAGAAGAAGGAGAAGAAGAAGAAGAAGAAGAAGAAGAAGAAAGCTAGGCGCGTTCTGCACTTACCTGGCGGATGGCTGAACTGCAGGTACCGCGAAGCCAGCTATGGCGCTGGTACAGGTAAGTCCTCTTCTCTCTCTCTCTCTCCAACTCCTCTAACTCTCTCTCTGGCGCTGTGTTAGTGCAGCAGCATCTCCCAAGAGCGCAGCTTCCCTCCAGCTAGCGCAGTAAAACAGCGCAGCAAAATAGCGCAGCCAAAATTAGCGCAGCGGCAAAAAGGTCCAAACATTTTTAGAGGCTCAGCCTCTGGGCCTGAATCTGGGCCTGGCCCTAAAACGTGTACCTGGCCACAAAACGGACAACAGCACACACGTTAGAAAAACAACAGCAATAAATAAATAAAAGAATATAAAAATAATCTAAAGCTGGCGTTTTTCTGATGCAGGCCCAAGTAAAAATGCCATAGGGCCTTCAGGTTGCGGTGACGCGACCTGGGGGCCCTATTCCAACCTCGGGTCCCGTGAGGGGCCCGTGTGTAGGCTCTCAGCATGTAACACGCCCCCCTCCTTATGAAGATGAGCCGGGGCGCGGGCGAAGCTGCCGATCCGATGGCGGAATGTAGCGAGGATGGCGAGAAGCTGGAGTGCTCGGCGTAGTCTTCCCTTTGCTAAGATAGCGTGAGAGAACGGCGGGGGCTGTGGCCTGCAGTTCCGAACGCGTCAGCCAACGGTCAGCCTTGTGGCCGCAGTAGGAAAAGTGAAGTAGAAACTTTGTTTCTTTGTTGCCATGGCGCCGGTCGGTGATGATGTAGCCGGCCTCGTGAAATCCATCCATGGAAGGAGGGTCTTGCGTACGTCGACCGGAAACTCGTCGGACTCCGCTGACACGAAAGGAGCGAGTTTGGAACAGTGGAACACCATGTGGACGGGCAAGTGAGGTGGCACCGCGATGCGGAATGAAGGCCCCTTGGGATCGTCACCAACTGCAGAGAGAATGCGCCAAGGCCCCATCCACTTGGGAAGGAGCTTGCGAGAGATGTCTTGCTCAAGGCTGAACTCCGCGGCGGAGACCCAAACCAGATCGTCGGCGCGGAACGGGCAAGGAAGGCGATTGCGGTTGGCTTGACGGCTCATCCGTATTTGCGTCTTTGACATCTGATCCCGTGCCTTGACAAGAAGCTCTTGCATGCGACG